GACCCCCGCTCGGGTAAGTACCAGGGCCGGGCGCTTCGGGGCGGGACGAGGGGCTTCAGCGCGGTGGGTTTCCCCTCAGAAAACCGGGCTTAACCTCACCGCCTGCTCCTCAGGTCCCCCCAAGCGCTTCCCGGTGGCCGCGGTGGATGATATCCTGAAGGACGTGCTGGGGAGCTACCTGAGGGAGCAGCCCTACGAGCCGGCCCGGTGCAGGGACATGGCGAAGGACATCGCTGAGGTACTGCTGCACTCGAGGCACGAGGCGGCCATTTTGTCCTCATGCCTCGATGGCGTGTCAGGGAGGTGGCCGTCACGGTGGGGAGGTCCCCAAATATAAATACAAAGTGTAAAACAAATGCTGGAGGAGGCCGTCAAGATGCACCAAGGGTTGGTCTGAGAGGGGTGCAGGCTTATACGAGTTAACGATGAGGTTTGTTCAAGCAGCGGTGGCTCTGGCCAAGCACACGGTTCAGTAAAAACTCCATGCTGTGGTTGCCCTGTCCAGAAATGCCATTGATAAGTTTTAAGTATGTATCAGACCTTTCCAGAATAGACCAGTTATGGTAGTGGCTGAATTCTGCACAGTGACACACGTGCAAGCTCCTTGTCGGTTAAATCCAGTCTTGCTGCTGATGCTGCTGAGAAAAGACTGTCCTGACCCTTTAGTCTTTCAGCTGATTTGGCTCAGAAGAGCTCATCGGCATTAAAAAAGCAGTACTGTCTGCTCTTCCTTTCCCCCCCTGTAATCAGCAGGTAACTATGAGCACATATGGAGGAGAATATGGTATTCACATACATTAACTCCTTACTTAACACGTGCGCTTGCATTTCAGTAGTCCAACTGGAAGATGTGCCTGTTTTTAGCACATAGAAGTGTTGGTTCTCTTGTGAAATGACTATAGCAGTGTACATGCCACCTGTCCGTGGGGCTGGGGGGGGGGTTGCAGATGTTTCAGATGCTGCAGTTCAAAGATGGTCATCAGGATTGTTGCAAGGTCTCTACAATGCAATGCTTGCACTTGTTTCTCCCAGAAAACCAAATCCCTGAGCATCCCCTGTAAAGAGAGCTCACCACTTGTGTCTAAACATGTTTTTCTCCTGCAGGTTATTAAAGCTCGGGTAAAAGACCTTATGATACCGAGGTACAAGATTGTTGTGGTGACACATATTGGGCAGCTGAATGAGCAGAGCATGCAAATTGGAAGCAGGTGCCTGTGGGATCCTGCAAGTGATACATTTTCGTCATATGTGTTCAAGAACACTTCACTGTTTGCTCTTGCAAATGTCTATGCTGTCTATTTTGAATAAGGAGGTAGCTGAGTTTAACAGCAGGAGAAATGAACAGCCTAACTCTTCCTGTTTCTGTTGTTGAAAACGGTTGTGAAGGACCAAGGCAACTTTCACCTGTTTTGAAATGTGGTTACCATAAGCCTTTTGGTGGTGAATGTAATAATTGTATTTCCCAGAGCTTTCTGTGGGAAGTGATTCTGTGTGAAATGCAGTTTTGCACCTGATTCTAGCTGCTTTTAGAACCGGGTATCCCAGTAATACTTTTTTCTCCCTGAATTTGCCCTTGCTATGTGATCCCCAAGTAGAAACCACATTTTTGGAAAGTAGAACAAAAGCATTTTAAAACTATCCCCATTAACTGGTGTTTGCGGGCAGTTAAGTGCAGGCCCCGTGGCCCGGGCTCCATGCACACTGTGTCATGGGACACATTGTGTCCCATCAAGCCTTAGTAGCTCAGTGCTGCAAGTTACCCTCCCCTGCCTGGGCAACGGAGGGATCCCTTCAAACCTTCCTGCAGGCCCCAGAGATGCCCCGGGTGGGCTCTGCGGTGGGAGGGCAGCAGAGAGTGCGAGAGTCAGGAGCTTTGCTTGCCGGGGGCTGGCCTGGCTGCCCCTGAACCCCGAGAAAAGCCCCGAGTGCAGAAAAGGTGGCCGAGAGAAGGTGGTTAGTTCTGCTTGGAGAAGACTAGCTCTGTCCCATAGTGCTTGAAATCAAGTGAAAAATGTCTTCAAATTATATCATGTTTAGAATATATAGATCTAACATGTCTGGGCCGTTCTATTGAAGGTTCTTGAATCTAGCAAAACAAAAAATGAATTGGGGTTCTCTGCTGATACCAGCCTATAGATAAGAGGGGAGGTACAGCCCTCCAAGCTCAGAAGTGTATTTCCAGTCCCCCTGGGTGCAAATTAACTGTCCACTAGGTAGGACCTCAGATGTTCGTGGAAGCAGCTGGAATAGGAAATAAACCATGGCTACTGCCTGCCCAGTTTAGGGGCTAGTGCTGGCTGATCACAGGTCTCATCTGCTGCAGCCATTCCCCTGCTGTGGTGGGGGTCTGACTCGCGGGCCTTGCGGCATAACGTGCTGCACAGAGCTACCTGCACTGCGTTGGTTTTATTCTGATTCTGAAGACAAGACTTTTTGCTACCCATATTTCACAGCTGAAACCTGCTGTTGCATTTTCATAAGTCAGAGAACAAGCATATAATAAATCGCTTATTTTCTTACATTTTATGTGCAAAGCTGAAACTAGAACTGTAGTTAGATGGGAAGAAATATTTGTGCTCATGACTAAAAGTTTAAACCGCTGTAAACACTTTGTGAATCCAGACAAACCAACCTGAACTGTCGCTGCAGCCATTTCCTGGTTTGCACTACAACATTTCACGTTCAGCCTTTACTCCCTAGTGTACTCCAAAGAATAAAGCTACAATTAAAGAATACAACTGAAATAATTGTTTTATGTCATGATTATTTTAATACATGAAAGCTGTGACATTGAACCTCGTCAGCATCTGCTGCGTTTTAGCACAGCGAACGGATCTCTCTCTCACTGCAGCCGATGCTGCAGCAGGATGTGGTAAGCAACTTGGCTACTTCGCGCTTTTTTAGCATAGACATTTTCCTGGTGCCTTGTAAGTCTCGCTCTGTCTCGGGCTTGACGTTGTGGATTTCTTCGCTGTCAGCCTCCAGCCTCTGGTCTGTGTACATCAAGGAGTCGGCATAACCGTTGTTCTCTTGTGAGAAAGGCAGGGGATTTTCACTCTCTGTCGCATAAAAATCAGAAGTCATGGAATCATGAGTGTTTTATAATATTTATCTTTACTAGAAAGACAGACCAGCCTACAGCCAGGGAGCTGAAAGTATTATCCTCCATGTTTCTGATGTGAACAACCGAGATGTAAAGATCACCGATTTCTCACCAGGGCAGTATTAAAATAGATACGCGAGGTACACATTCTGTGATTAACATGTTAAAAAAACCAGTAATTTATGGATTTATATTGAAGAGTGTTGTTTGTAGGAATAGTTGCTTTGTCAGTCTTACACTGATATATTTGCTTCGAAGGGTGAAACCATGATTTGATGTGTCAGTGGCACTTGACCAGCATGTTAACCTGGAACTGCTTGTGGGTTTCCTGAAATGCAGATAATATGTCAAGGCATCGGATACCCCACAATTTCAAAGTTCCTGGATGTTCCCACTTAAATTACGCTTGTGATTCATGTGCATTTTAAATACCACAGTACCACTGGGCACTGCCTTGTGGAGTTTATAAAGGTATAGTAGTTATCTCGCTTAGTTTAGCAGCGGGGGTTTCTTCTTTAACAGACTCTCGGGTAGGGTGTTGCGGGTGGCATCACTTTTTATGTTTGTTTAAAGCTGCTACTACAATAGAATTTTCAAAAAAGGCAGATGTTATTGCATGGAAAATGTAGAAAGCCTCTGTTCCTGTTATCTGCCTCATTTATTTTCTTTTTTCTAGTTATTTTAACCTATCGGAGCACAAATTTCTAGCAGTGCATGTAATGGCTGAATTTTATGACTGTGCTAATAAATATAAACAAAAACAACACCATGTGAAGATACTTAAATTGCAGAGTATAGAATCATAGAATCATTAAGGTTGGAAGAGACCTCTAAGATCATCGAGTCCAACCGTCAACCCAACAACACCATGCCCACTAAACCATGTCCCTAAGCACCTCATCTACCCGTCTTTTAAATACTTCCAGGGATGGTGACTCAACCACTTCCCTGGGCAGCCTCTTCCAATGTTTAACCACTCTTTCAGGAAAGAAATTTGTCCGCACGTCCAATCTAAACCTCCCCTGGCGCAACTTGAGGCCATATATTCAACATACTTTAATTACAATATTCTTAAGTTGTAATAAGGTTTCTGGTTTCTAGTGGGGAAAGCAGTGTGTCCTACCGAAGAGAACGGTAAAAAACTTGTACTGACTGCAGCAAAGCTTGTCTCTGACATTTAAAATGTCATGGCATAGAGATTTTCCGTGATAGCCTTGGGCTTAAGTCATGGTTCCTCAGGATGACTTGGAAAATCTTGATGTAAATGTTATTTGTTTAGCAAAATAGCACACTAAGCTAAGCCAAGCAAGCTGCAAGGAAAAAACGTGAAGTTGCACCACTTCACTTGCTGTCTGAAAGCAAAGCCCATGCTGTTCGTGCTTGAGATGCACCTGTTCAGGGGAGCAGCAGAAATCGAGGGCACAGCTCTGCCCTTAGGTACAGCCTGCAGGTGATTTGGTTCTTCTGAATCCCCTCAGATTTAGGCACACCTTGCAGGGGGTGATAAGCCTGTAATGCATTAATTAGTACTTACCAAACAGGTAGCCATAATCAGTCAAATGCCTTTTCCACCGAGAACTGCCGCAGGTGAAGACGATGGCTCTGACAAAGTCTCTCCCGCAGAGCTTCACGGTGTTTCCTTCACCTTTTCCTTCACGTGCCGCAATCAGGAGAGCGAGCAAGGCCAGCGCCAGCACCGGGCCCCTCATTCTGCAGACGCTGCGCTTTGAGGCTGGGTGTCAGCAGGATAGAAGGGATCTGCGAGGCAGTGGTGGGGAGTTCTGCTGAGATCCTCTCATTTATGCTGATGGCCCATCCGCTCCACTGAGTGACGGCTGATTCTGAGAATGACTTAATGTTTGCTAAAAACAAGTTAATCACTTGTTTCAGGTAATGTTTTAAGTGCTTTGGGATTTGTGCTGGGATTTCAGTCAGGTATTAAAGACTTCTTAAGTCTACGTAACTGCTTTACTATAGGAACACATGTAGTATAACATGTTTATAGGGTACAGGCTTAGATCAATACTGTTAATGTGTATGTTCTGCAAAAATGAAATGGTGTTTATTACACGATTTGTAGATAATGAGTTTTGTCTCTGTGTGTTACCCACACAGCTGTGCTGCCACAGCCTGTTGCCTAGTTGTGCCTGTTGCCACAGTTTAAGCAACGTCAGGTCTTTTTCTGTTAGTGATCCCAAACTAAAAGGGAGTTAACAACTTCCAGTGATGTCTGCAGCTGTGCACCTCTTCGTTACCCCTGCTTTGTTCCCTTGCCAAGCATCCCCTTGTCAAGCTGGCAACTGCGGATGCTTCAGAGGAATCTGCCAGTGCTGGGTGGTCACTCACGAGAAAATCACATACTGAGGGGTTTTTGTGGCAAATGTAGGCATCCAAGCCTGCAAATGCCCTGCTATGATTCCTAGTGTGCTATGTGATAGGATGCGATCCTGCAAGACGCGGAGCATTTGAGCACAGTGAACTCGCTGCAACAAGCTGTACAGAGCAGCGTAGTTGTTTGACAGCTTGTGTCTGTAGGTACTGGCCTCGCAGATACCTGGATGCAGTGAAGTAGCTCCACTGTAGCTGCATGGCTCACCTGTCTCTGCAGCGAGGCCTGTGGACATGGCCCTTGTCCAAAAAGGCATAGCAAAGAGAGGTAGATGGCTCTCAACAAAGCACGGAATAGCTCTGGATCGGTGCCCAGGCCATCCTTTTCATTTTGATAATATCTGAAAGACAGAAGTGGGTTCACTGAAGCAGCAGTGTTAGCTGTGCTCTGGGACCGGAGGTTAAGCAGATTGGTCATGCTGCCTGGAGCGGTCCCTTGCTATTGCTTTGGATGTTGTTGGCTGCAGTTGCTGTAAGCTTCTATAAAACATTCTTGCAATAAAATGCCTTAAGGAGAAAATTTGTCAATTATGAGGTCAAAAATTCCATGTTTAAGAACAAAATACATGAGGAGCTTTGGAGATCTTTAGCACTTCCTAGCACCACAAGTGTTTTCCAGCACCATAATGTTACAGTTAATTAGTTTACACTATGTGCAGGATGAATTACAATGTGTTACAGCCTTGACAGAAAGCTCGTTTTTTACCAGTAGCATCAGTAAGTAAACAGTCATGACCACCGATGGAAAATATATGGTGTATTTTGTTCAGTTTTATAATAATGATTAACACATGATTCACCTTAATGGATGTCTTTTTTTGAAATGCACAAAGATTAATTTTATGTCAAGGGTAAGCTTGCATGTTCACTGTAAAATGTGCAGAACACAGAAGGAAGTGAATGTTAATGCATCACAAATGATCTTTAACTTCAGTGATGTGTTTAAATGTTGGACATTTATTGTCAGGCTAATGAGAGAGTCTGAATGTTCTGTATCTATAAAATATATGTCTCGCTACGTAATGCTTTCCAGAGCAGGCAGTTATTGCCTCCGTCAGTTGGCAGGCAGAGCGCTTTACGGCCAAGCTTTTATATTGCCTAGCTCCTGTGACGGGGGGATCCCTGCTGCACTGGTCAGGCAATAGGGCTATAGCCTAGATCTTATTCTTAATTACTCATCTGTAGAGATGCTCATTATTTTCTGTGAGCAGTCAGTCTCTGAAAACCCTCTAAGATACCACGGTCCGGCTGGTGGCTCGCTGGGTGCTTTCTTCTGTTTCTTCTGATCTGCCCCCAAAAAAGACAGCCTAGACAGCCAAATGCTGCCTGCTTCCAACCAGCAACGCAGGTCTGAGCAAGCGTTCCCAAGAGTTTTCGGCTGTCCAGCTCCTGGGAGTGGGCTAGGGGAGGTGGTGAGATCTTGAAAAACACAGATCTGGCTTCCAGAGGTGCAAAAGTCAATCCTTGCTCCAGGACCGCACGGTTATCTCGTGTGAGGAGCTTTCAGAAAAGTGTCAGTGTGGAACAGAGTGAATTTAAACTGCAATTTTACATTATCCTAATTTGTCAGGGGTTGAAAAAGTTGCTCTCTACTTCTGCCTGGTGTGGGATGATCTGCAGCTCGCAGGAGCACCTGATGCCACTCAAAGGTCAGCTTTCACCCTCAGCAGTGGTTTATGGGATGACAGATGAGATGGATCTGATGAGAAGTCCGTTCATTTACCGTATGATTTCACAGGGAAGATACAGACTACAACTGGTAAGGACTTAGGCTGTATTATGGAGTGGTGTATAGGCCAATAGGAGGTAACTTTGGCATTTTTGCTTTTTGAGTAACCCAAGGAGAAAAGACCTTGGAGGAGGAGAACAAGGAGAAAAATCCCAAGGAGAAAAAAGACTATGGATACCTTTCTATTACCTCATCTGTATTATAGGGAAGGCCATCTGTGTATTAATACTGTTTGTCTAATGAGGGGGACTTCCAGGGGAAAATTCAGAGCATTTGAAAGACATTTCTAACCAGTATGGTTTCAAAGAGAAATTTTAATGATTGAAAAAGAATAAACAGTTATGTTAATACTACAGTAAGTCTTTCTTGCTGTTTACCAACTGAGACGTGGTATCATTTAGCTACTGTTAAATAGCTACAGCAGGACCAATTACGTCATGTAAGGTATCAACCTGTAAAACGAGGAAAAAAAGAGCTGTATGACAGTGTACTTGCAGTATAAGACATGCAGTGATCCAAAATTCCTATTTGTGAATTGAGAACAGAATTGCTTGTGCAATGAGCATCCAGAAAGCAGGCTAAGGTAGTTTGTATTATGTCAGCTGATCCTTCTTTGGAATTCTGTTAATACTATGCTTACCTCTAACAGTGCTCCTTGAAAACAGCACTTTTTGGCAGGCCTGTTTGGATTGCATTTGTAGCATCATACTTAGCAGCATACAAACATGTATCTTGTTTATAAAGGAAATTAATTTTCAAGATGATACATGTGTGGTAGGTGTACTTAGATGTGATTGCCCCCGAAGTAATCACCTCCCTTTAGTGTTAGTTGTAGTATTGACCCTGTCGTGCTAAGCCTTGTACATACCTAAGCCTAGGAAGACCTTGCTGTTATCAGAAAAGGGAGTGAAAGAGAGGGATGATGCTGGGAAGTGGGGCTCCCTCTGGCTAATGAGGCTCTGTGACTTGATGGTCAGTTATGCCACATGCCCAAAGTCTGTGAAATTAAGCACTGATATTTTTAGTCCTGTTCTGGTGACATATCCAGAAAATTATCCCTATACTCTTATTAACTGAAGAACTTATCTGCCTAGAGGACTTCAGCTGCTTCAGGATATTTTCTGAGTTTAATAACAATGGCCTCACTTTTAGTTTTTAAGGGAAATACCTTTTTGCTCTGTGGTTTACAGCACTTGGCAAATGAGGCTGGTAATTACCAGAATTTCTAAATGCAACACTGACAATTGTGAATTATTAATGCTTTAATACCCTAAGAATGAAGGTTAGATTAACATCAGCATTTTCGTTCTCTCCAGCTTAAGTTTAGTGTTTTGCACCATGTAACTCGGAAGGGATTTTAAGAAGTACCAGTTCCACTTTACAAATTGGGAACCCAAGTCCAGTAAGCCAAAGCTACTTGCTCAAAGCTGAAAGGACAAAGGGAGTAGTGCAGTTCAGGGCTGCAGGCCGCCTGCAGATAGATCCACCTGGTGCTGGAGTACCCAGGGTGGCATCAGGATTTTGTACCATGGACCAGGCAAGGAGGGCCCAGTAGGGCTTTGGTATAAATTAGCACTGATTTATGCAAAAGAGAACAGATGGGATTCACAGTTGACATCAGCTTTTACACTGCTGCTGACAGGGAATCTATGCAATGGTACGATTGGAAAGGAACGTAGTTGTAAGGCAAGTAAAATTCTCACATGTCATCTAGGACAGAAAAGCCACCACTAGGATAAGTAGTGGCTTCTAAAGGAGTGAAGGCAATACGGAGCCAAAGGGCTAATGGGTTTGCTGACACCAACAAAGTGAGACTCTTGTTGGCCAGGAGAGGGCAAGTTGTTCCTGCGTTGCCAGCAGGTAAGGGCATTCTGCCAAATAGTCACCTGCAGACTGCATTTAGAGGAAGCTTCACCTTCCTGCCCTTGCTCCCAGTGTCCCTCCCAAATCCAGCTGTGGCAAACCTCTGGGTTTGCGATCAAGAGAAACCTGAGGTTCAACATTGACTTAACTGTTCCTGAAGTTTCTAGTGGTATGGCATGCAGAAGAGCAGGAACCACCTCAGGTTTTAATCTGGTTATGGAATTGCATCTGATTCCACCTATTTCAATATTTATTAGCTAGATCTTTAACAGAAACCCCTTTCTGAGGAATGAAGTACCAGACAAGCACGCAGGCCTCTGAGGACCACCACCTTTTCCTAGTGAATTGTACCTTATTACTGTTGGGAGCAGCCAGGTTCTGCAGCTCAAACACACTGACTTCTCCTTTACTGTCTCCTACAAGAAGGCAGTCGGTGTTCTTAGCAAAGAGTACAGACGTGAATTTCACTCTTGGGTTGGCAAAGCGAGAGATCACGGGGTTCAAGCTGCAACCCAGCAGAGGCAAGAATTAATAGGTAACACTGCATTTGCCTGAGTGTACTATCATGTAAAGTCTAGCAGTAACGCAGGCCTGATAAATGTTGCATGGTTTACTTTTTGTGTTCTAGATTAACTCAAAAACGAAGAAGTGAGGCAGTGTTTTGTTTGGTCTCTACCAGAACAAAAATCCCAGCTGCTATTAACTAAGATGTTCTGGTTGCCTAAAATC